TGGCCTTTGTCACTATCACTACATTGGATAGCCAGTCTAGGTAGACTACCTCCCTCACTGACCCATTTGTCAATAGCTTGTCCACCTCCTTCTCCATAGCCTATCCCCTCTCAATACTCACGTTCCTTAACTTTTAACAGACTGGTTTGTACCTGGGGTCAACATTGAGTCGATGGGAGGCCACCTTATGCAACCAGGCGAAGACATTTGTGTTCTACCTGAGGAAGTCTACAAGGTGGATGCTTGCTCCCAGGAGAGTGAGGAGCCTATGTAGATTCTCCTTTCAGGAAGGGTGTCATCTATTACCACTAGCTGAAGTTCTTCTGCTGGTTCCCCCTCTCCAAGGTACTGTCATCTCTAGGGTCGAGCACCTCAACTTGAAGAGTCTCATGTGGTCTTCTGGGCCTCATAGAGGTCACGTAACACTCTCTGGCTGAGACTTGGTCTCCTTTAATCTCCCCAATCCCATTAGAGGTAGGGAAATGGAGAAGAAGGTGGAAGGTTAGCTGTACTACCCTTAGGGAATTGAGAGCAGGGCGTCCAAGTATTATATTATAAGCAGAAGGGCAGTCAAGCACAAGAAAATTTATCATAACAGTAGAGCTCCTGGGTCTAGTTTCCCGCTATGACAGTCAGGGTAATAGATCCCAAGGGATCGACTTTCTATCCTAAGAACCCAACCAAGGGAGTCCTAACAGGTTGTAGTCTCTCTTTATAGAGGTGAAGTCTGCCATAAGTTGTTGCAAACAGAATGTCGGCTGAGTTGCCGATGTCGACCAGGACCCTCCTAACCTGGTAGTTGGCCACCATCAGGGTCAAGACCAGAGGGTCATCATGGGGGACCTGGATCCCCTCAAAGTTTCTGTCTGAGAAGGTGATGACCTTCTGCTCCCCATGTCGAGGAGTCTTCGTTGGGCGAAAGTCATGTGACTCTGTCTATCTGGCTCTCCAGGCATGTGCCTTTTTGGCAGAGTTGGAGTCGGTCACCTCCTCCTCCTAATCCTCCGACGATAGTCTGAATCTCACAAAGGGGCCACTGGCGCTCTCGCTCCTCATATGGCAGAGCTGGTCCTCGACCAGCGATGTAATGCCTCAGCTAGCAGCGCTAAATAAGTTCTTCAATCTGCCTCTTTAACTGAAAACAGTCGTTTGTGTCATGACCATAATCGTGGTGGAAGCAACAGTACTTATTGGAATTTCGGCGCTTGGGGTCAGACTTCATCTTTCTGGGCCAGCAGAACGTGGGGTCATCCTGTATCTAAAATAGGATGTGCTCCACTGAGGCGTTGAGTGGTGTGAAAGGTTGTTTGTATCTCGGGGGCAATAGACCGAGGCGATCCTTTACAGAAACTCTATCAGGTTTCTTCCTCTTGTTCTCTGCCTCCCTCCTATCTTCTCGGGTGTCCTTCCTCTTTTTCCCCTTGGGAAGACTCACCTCTACGACCCTTTGTGACATCCTCGGAGTTCATATATTTATGTGCCCTAAACAGCAGCTCAGGCATACTAGAGGACGACTTCTTGAGGACAGAGAACATGAAACTAGAGGTGCGAAGGCCGGTGATAAAGGTGACAAGGGCTACCTTATCATCTGGCTCCTCAATCTGAAGAGTCTCCTCGATGAAGCGGGTGAGGTACTCTTTGAGACTTTCATCTCTGTCCTACTTGATGGTGAGGAGGTGGGTCACTGATTTCTGATGTCGGCATCCTCCAATGAAGTGGGAGACGAAGGATCTACTTAACTCTGCAAAGGAGTGAATTGAAGAGGGCTTGATCTTTGCAAACCATTGACGTGTGGATCCTTTGAGGGTGGTAGGGAAAGCCCTACACATTATCTCCTCAGGCATGTTATGGTGTTGCATGAGGAATTTGTAGGTGTCAAGGTGGTCAAGGGGATCTTTGGTGCCATCAAAGATTTTGACGGTAGGCATCTTGAACTTCGTGGGCAAGGGGTAGTTGACTATATTAGTAACAAAGTGTGTATCGGTGCGTCTTACCAGGTAATCTATGGTCTTCGACACCTATGCCTTGATGGCGTTGAGGGCATCACCAAGTTGATTTTGCACCTCTCTAATCTTTTCATCCCACTGATTAGGGACATCCTCAATCAGGTGGTGGTACTAGCTTTCATGGTCTCCGTATTGGCTCTCTCCGTCTTCGTTCTCCTGCACAGGTACATGTAGAGGGACTACTGGGCGAGGGGCGCCCTGGTGTGGCCTTGGGGCATTCTGGTGAGAGACCCCATGGTGAAGGGCTGCTGCTCCTCTCTTATTAGAGGGAGTGGGGCTTCTCCTACAGTGTGAGGGGGCGGCATTTCCCTGGACGAGCATCAATTGAATAATCTGGTGGTTCTGTTTTACCAACAGTTGCATAGTTTGTAGAAGCTGTTGTTGTTGTCCAGTCGTAGTAGCAGATGATTCCGAGGGTGTGAAGGGAGGCAGAGTCTCCTTCTGGTGGGTCGGGTTGTTATCACCCGATTGTTGACTCATTGATCGGATAATGATGGTCATGGATTTGAAAGAGAGTAGGAAAACTAGTCGTTTCCCACATACGGCGTCAAACTGATGATGCATAAATTGGTATTGCGTAAAATCAACAGTCGAATGTATGAACTGGTGCAATTAATGAGCAGTAAACAAGCGATTAATGGCAAAAGCAATGAACAATAGCAAACACAAAGATTTATAGTGGTTCGGTTCAGGTGACCTACTCCACTCTCGAAAATGCAGCAATGACCAGAGATTTTTATTGATGAATAAAAGCCACCGGGAAAGTATCCCCATGAGATTTACAAGGCTTTGGGAGAGAGATGGAGCAATGTGTGTGGAGAGATGTGTGTGTGGTCTCAAGGTGATGTCAATGTGTCTCTCCTTGTGGAGGGAGCTTACATTATATAGGCTTTGTGAGGCGGTGACGTGAGGAAGAGGACTTCTACTATTTTGGTAAGTGCAATTAAGGTGAGATTAAATCTCCGTACGTATCCCGATATTCTCTCCCTCGTGCTCCTATTCCGTCGGAGGAAGATCCTGAGCTGGGTTGGACTTGATTCGGAATGGGTTGGACTTGAGTTGGAGTGACAAAGAGAAGAGTGCAAAGGAGGAACAGGACTCGGCCTTGGACGGCGCCTGGGCTTGGGTGACCCCCTTGGGCAGCGCCCTTTGGTTCCTCCTTAAGGCATTGGCTTCTAGATCTCCTCTTGGGCCTGGAGACTCCTTTTCGGATATTGATTGTTGGGGCCCCTTGGTTTATTTTAATTGGGTTTAGCCTAGTTAATTTTGGCTCATCAAAGTTCAATGTTTTTTGAATTTTTCAATATTTTTTGAGTTCACTATTTTTTATATAAATTTCTCAATTCAATTTCTCAATATTTTTGTATTTTACTGTTTGTGAAAATTTTAGATAGTGAACTTGGAGTTTCATTCTATAAAAGTTAACTGCTTTTAAAAATTTTGAACATTGAACTAAAAGTTTCATTATATTAATTTTTTTATGAAAAATTTAGAGAGTGAACTAGAAGTTTTATCTATTAAAGTTCACTATTTGTGAATTTTTTTTTTTTGAAATAACATTTTCATTCTATTAAATTTCACTATATATTTTTTTTACTTCACTGTTTTTTATATATATTTTTCAATTCAAATTTGTAATATTTTTGTAGTTCATTATTTATGAAAATTTGAACAGTAAATTAGGAATGTCATTCTGTTGAAAGTTCATTGTTTGCGAAAACTTTGTAAAGTAGGAATTTTTCTATAAAGTCATTGTTTTTAATTCACTATTTTTGAATGTACATCTAGGAGGATGACAGATAGAGGAGAGGAAAAAGAATTTATTCACGATGGTGGGCGACAATGACAGTAGTGGTGGGGTATAAGTGATGGAGGGCAATGGTGGGTGGCGATAGTGGTGAATTGGTAGTGGTGGTGGTGGTGTGGCGACGGGGTAATGGTGGGTGGGGGCGGCGATGATGATGGTGGTAGATGGTGGTTGTTGTTGCAGTAGTGGTTGGGGTGAGTTTTGGGTGGTGATAGTTGGTGGCGGTGATGGTCAGTGATATGTGGTGGTGTTGGCAGCGGTAGTTGTGTTTTGTGGCAACGATGATATTGGTTATGATTGGCAATGATAGGGGTGGTGGTTGTGGTGGTGGTGAACGGCGGTGGAAATGGGTGACAATAATAGGTGGTAGTGGTGGGAGGAGGCAATTGGTGGCGACGGACAGTAGTGGGTGGTGGTGGGGGGTGGGTATGGGGAACGATGCTGGTGGAAGTGGGCAATGTCGACCGTGGTGGTGGCGTTGGCTTTTGGGTAGGCAGCGGTAGATGACGGTAATGGGTGGTGGTGGTGGGGGGAGGTGATGATTGGTGGCAGTGGATAATGGTGGTGACGGACAGTCATGATAGTGGTGAGTAGTGGTGGTTTGTTGCAGCATTGATGGTGGTGATGGGCAACGATGATGGATGATAATGGTGGATGAGTGTAGTGGTTGGCGACAATAATGGCAGTGGTGGTAGTGGTGGAGGGTGAGTGTAGTGGTGGTGGTGGAAGGAGGCAATTGGTGGTGGCGGCAGTGTGACGATGTTGTGCCATCACAAAATAATGATGTCCATTGCAAATTGGCACTGTTTACCTACCTGAGATGGATCATGGGCTGGGCTGAGATGGATCATGGGCTTATAAAAGTAAAATTGAATAATTTTCTCTTTGTTTTTTTTTGTTTTTGACCCTTCATCTATCCTAAATTAATAATAGATAATTTAACCAAAAGAAAAAGAAAAAGAAAAAATATGTATTTTAATAGATTTCAATCCCACAAAAAGTACGAATTACCGATTGGACTAGTAGTTGTATATTTTAGAAAAAATTATAAGAAAGTATACGAAATTAAATTTATTTGTCAAAAAATATATTACTCTTAAATTAAAATTATTAATATTAAAAGCAAAAAATCTCATTTTTAGTTCTCATATGTCTTAAATAGTCTTGGCTCGCGCGTGATTCGCAATCCAATCCAAATTTATTTTTTTAGCCAAATCCAATCCAAATTCAACCACAGAAATTACAAATAAAACCGAAAAGGATTTCCTCGTGGGTGTTGTCCGACAAAATTAAGGTCGGGATTGGGGAAGGGCTCCTTTGTTGCGAGGGAAAGTACTGCTGGGGTTTTCGTAGGGAGAGAGAATTATGAGTGACTCTGCAATTGCCGAGCATGAGGTTGGTTATGCATCTGAATCTCTTCCAGGAGAAGCACAACGCTGTCTGAAAAAACAGAAATTGGATGAGGAAAATCAGAACCAACATCAAAAAGGCAAACTCATACCCTATTATGATCCGGATGAATTGACAGAAGAAGAGTCTCAGAGGTACGGCAAACAGGTCCAAGAGAGCCAGGTATAGACTGCTATTTATTTTTCTTTTGTTTTTCTAATTAATTAATTGTTTATCAATTTTCCCCTTTCTCTATCGTATCGTATAGGGCTTTGACGTTGAAAAATTTGGGAGTAAGTGTCCGTTTGGGATTATTATGCCAGTAGTGAACTTGCAGAAAGGTTCACTGTTGCATCAGGATGTCACCGTCTGTTCAATCTTAGCCATTCGCGCCTACAACAATGACAATGTAAGCGCCTGCTTGTTTCTTTTCCAATTGAATTATTGCACACACATTCTATTCATTTATTTTAAATGCGTTGGTTTTCAATCCTTTCTCAAATTGCAGGGTACAAACTACCAATTTACGGAAGTCATCAAAGTCAACACATATGTGTGCTCAGGGTTGATGTGTTTTATCACTTTCAAAGCCCAGCATGCTGCTGCTGAGGGAGATGATTCTCCTAAAATATTTCAAGCCCGGGTGCATCGTGGGATAACTGAAAACAAAGTCATGTTATGTAGGCTGAAACCCAACTAGGGAGCATCTAGCTGTTAACCTTAAGGTAAGCTGAAACCTATGGTTTAATTATTCAAAAGTTATATTTCGTTTACTATTTTTTATTTGGAAGGCAGGCCTTTTTTTCCTTTTATTTTGTTCCCAATTTTTTGGTTAAGACTCTATTGGTCAGTTGACAGGATAGATGATCAACAGATTTTCTGATATTTAAAAATTGTTTTGGTGGCTTGTGCCATTTCATATACGATTTTGGGTTTATAGTGGTTGGTGGGGAAAGGGATGCAGTTGCCAAATCCTGGGCCTTAACCTGTTTAATGAAGGACGAAGGACCACTGGAAATGATTATTTACTTAAGGGCTATGGAGCACAAACACAGATACGGATACAACCAGAAAATCAGTATCCGATTTTTTTATTATTATTTTAAATTTCAGACATGTCGTGGACACTTTTGGGATACAGCTTTCTCCTGCTAATTAGATAGCAAATACCTAGCACTAGAAACCACCTCCCAACTATCCCTCACCACTACCTTTCTACAAAAGATATCTCATCATTTTTTCAATTTTCATAGTTCTCTTCTCGGGCACCATCGAAGATAAAATAAAATGTGACAATAATATTAACTAGTTAGAATTGATTGCACAATACTTAACCTCCACCCTTTGGATATGTAAGCTATCTTGTCATCTTTATCATTTCCCCTCTTTTTTCAATACTAGGTCACAAAATGATAATGACAATGGATATTCACCCAAATATAAACCAGTGGCCACTTTTCCACTTTACACCATATAAGTCCCACAACTTTGGAATGTCAAAGTGCCTATCAAGGTGCAGATTTTTGTATGGACTGTAGCTCGTGGTGATCTCAATACTTGTGATTTATTATGAAGGAGAAGCCCGAACTCCTGTCTTTCTCCTAATTCTTGTGTGATGTGCAAAATCTGGTGTGTAAGTGTGGGTCATCTCTTTCTCCAATGCCCAGTGGGCAGTGACCTCCTTGATGTGGTGTAGAGTGCTTTGGGAGTTTAGTTTGAGTTGGGCTTTCCCAAGAGGATGTGTTGATTTACTTGTGGCATCCTACGGGCTCTTTGGAAAGAAGAAAAGAGTCCATTTTGTGGGACTGTGTTGTTATGACTATTTTTTGGGTGGGATGGAAAGAAAGGAATTGCAAAAAATTTGAGGATAAAGAAAGAGTGTTGGGAGAGGAGATGTTGTGGGATAGAGCAAAGTTTTTGGCTTCCTTTTGGGCATCAATTGCAAAAGAGTTTTTAAGGAGGTTTCTTTGCATACCATCAACCTAGATTGGATAGCGGCTTGAACTTAGATTAATGTTCCTTGAGTTTCTTTACTTGGTTTTCCGGATGTACTTTTCATTTTGTTTGAGTTTTGATGTGGATTCCTTTCCCACTAAAATGTACTCTATTTATTAGTTTTAATGAAAGTTTTGTTTTCTGTTAAAAAAAAAAAACAGTTTCACTTCTTTTTTAGTTATTCTTTGTTCTTAAGATATTGACTTGGTCTTATGTTATTTACAGGTTACGGAAGATGCGATGATGAGAGTATGCTTATGGAGATGGAGATTCACTAAGTAACTGTTAGGGTAATGTAGATTGTAAAAACCTTTATTTTGTAATTCGATCATGATCGAGTTAGAACCTAAGATCTATGACCATTTTATGTTAACTGTATATCACTTGCATTTTGCTGCTAATTGTTGAGGGGGATGATATTAATGAGATGTATGCAATCAGGTTCCAGGTGAAGAAAGAAATAGGTGATGAAGAACTAATTAATGCTTCATGGGTTTATTCACAATATAATGCTTCATGGGAACTGCTTTAATGGTTTGTGCCGCTAAATTGGTTATGGGATTTTGTTTCTCGTTGAATCTTGAGATTTTACTCCTCAAATGTGCTGTATTTCTCGAGTATTGATGCTACTAGATGGTAACCTTTCCACCTCTAGAATTTAATTACAGGATTTCATGATAATTAGTATGTATGTATGTATGAGCTTTTACCCAAAACCGGCTGATTTTGGAAAGTTATACCAAAATCGGGTTGGTTTGAAAATAATTCTAATCCTAGGTAGTTTTAAAGATCTTAGTTCAAATGATGTTTTTGAGTTAAAATCGTTAGTTGAATCGACATTTTTAATTTATACATGTTATTTGGGGGTTATAAAGAACGTTAGTTTGATGCATTTATATTAAGGGAGATTTGTGCAGAGGTACACACTTGAGGACTTTTTTGGGTTTAGGTTTGGTCTCAACACTTTTAAGGCCAAAAATTTATAAAATTAATCATTGGCAAAAATATCATGAAGGAAAAAAGTTATTTAAAAACTTTAACAAAAGAAGTTATTTTTATATTTATTATCACTACTATCATTATTCTACTATTGCCACCACCACCATTCTCCACTTTCCACCACCATTGTCGCCGCCGCCACCACCACCATCACCACCAACCATTATCACCTCCCACCACCGCCAACCATCACCCACCACTGCCACCATCACCTCCCACCACCACCCACTATCGCCACCAACGCTGTTAACCACCACTATCCAAAACTTGCCACCATTGCCCACCACCACTGTCCATTTCCACCACCACTAAATCGTTGCCCAAAATCATCACTGTCGTCACAAACCACCACCACAACCATTCACCACCGCTACCGCTATAGTCCACCACCGTTCACTCCCACCACCACCACCATTGTCATTACCGCCATTGCTGCCACCTCCACCCATCATCGTCATTGCTAACCACTGTTACCTAAAACCTACCACCATTATTGTCTACCACTACCACCATCATTACCGTTGCCCACCATTTGTCATTGCCTCTCATAGCACCCACTACCACTCCCGCCAACTACCACCCACCCATCAGTTCCACCTGTCGCCACCACCACCCATTACTGCTAACCATTGCCGTCAACCACCATCACCCAAAATCCACCACTACTGCCACCCATAACCACCGTCAACCAACATTACCATCGTCACCCATCAGCACCACTGCCATCGCCCACCACCACCACTAACCATCGATATCAACCACCACCACTGCCCACTATCATTGCCAACCACAATTGTCGCAATCCATCACCCAAAATAATGAAAAACTAGTAAACTCAGAAATATTGAAAATAATATAAACAATGAACTTTAATAGAATGAAACTCTTCGTTCACAAAATTTTTCACAAAACAGTAAAATTTAATATAATGAATTATTGTTCACGGCCAAAATTTTCACAAATAATGAATTATAAAAATATTAAAAATGTGAATTGAGAAACATATATCAAAACACATCAAACTCAAATATATTGAAAAAATATAAACAGTAAACTTTAATAGAATGAAATTCTTAGTTTCCAAAATTTTCAAAAACAACGAACTTAATAGAATAAAATTCCACTATGAATTCAAATATAGTGAACTCAAAAACAATAACTTCAAAAACTGAACTAAACATAGTGATTAACCACCATCACCGCTAACCACCACCACCCAAAACAATGAAAAATTAATGAACTAAAAAATATTTAAAAAATAATGAACTTTAATAAAATAAAACTCCTAATTCACAAATTTTTCATAAACACTGAATTTTAATAAAATAAAATTTCTAGTTCACCGTCCAAAATTTTCACAAATAGTGAAATAGAATAAAATTCCTAGTTCACAAAAACCACCACCCACCACACAAAATAGTGAAAAAGAATATAAATAGTGAATTTTAATATGAAGAAACTCTTAGTTCACAAAATTTTTACAAACAATAAAATTTAATAGAATGAAGCGACTAGTTCACTGTCCAAAATTTTCACAAATAATGAACTACATAAATATTTAAAATTTGAATTGAAAAATATATATCAAAAACCACAAACTCAAAAACTGGGAAAAAAAAATAAACATTGAACTCCAAAAACAGTGAATTTTAATAGAATGAAATTCATAGTTCACAAATTTTTTACAAACAGTAAATTTCAATAGCATGAAATTCCAATTTCATTGTGTCCTCAAATATAGTGAATTCAAAAATAGTGAACTCAAACTGTGAACTAGACATAGTGAACAACCACCATTGCCGCCCACCACCACCGCTACATCACCCAAAACCCACCAACCAAAAATAGTAAAAAATCTAATAAGCTAAAAAAAATATAAAAAAAACATAAATTGTGAACTTTAATAGAATAAAACTCCTAATTCACAAAATTTTTATAAACAATAGACTTTAATATAATGAAATTTTTAGTTCACTATCCAAAATTTTCAAATACAGTGACTACAAAAATATTAAAATTTTGAATTGAGAAATATATATAATAAACATTAAACTCCAAAAACAATGAACCTTGATAAAATGAAATTTCTAGTTCAATGTGCAAAATTTTCACAAACAGTGAACTATAAAAATGTTAAAAAATTGAATTGAGAAATGTATATAGAAAATAGAGAACTCAAAATATATTGAAAACAACATAAACAGTTAAGTCAAAAAATAGTAAATTTAATAAAATAAAACTCTTAGTTCACAAAATATTTACAGGCAGTGAATTTTAATAAAATAAAACTCCTATTTCACTATTCAAAATTTTTACAAACAGTGAATTACAATTAACATTATAATAGAAATTAAGTTTCACTACCAAGAATCAAAGAAACAACCTTGACACTGAAATAACTCGTACGACTTAATTTTACTACAAAAAATTAGACAAATGTGTTATGCAAAAGCAGAAGACTATCTTTCTTTTTCTTTTCTTCTATTTTTTCCAAAAAAAAATTATTCTCCATAAAGCATTGCAAGCTTGTTTCTAAAAATTCATGATACTTGCAACCTCAAATATTAGTAGGCTACCAAAAAAACAAAACAAACTGAACAAAGTCACGATTGATCTAATCACTTTGCCATTCAACTTGCCCAAATTGGAAGAAACGTGAAAGGCATGATTGGAGAGAACTCAAAAACAATAAACTTAAAAAATATTGCAAAAATAAATAATTAGTGTGCTCCAAAACGGAAAATTTTAATATAATGAAACTTCTAATTAACAGAATTCTCACAAACAACGAAATTTAATATAATGAGACTCTTAGGTTACTTTGAAATCAAAGATGGTGAACTATACGTAGTGAACACAAATAAATTATGCTTAATTAATGAAATTGATTAGATTTTAACTTAATTAAGATGTTTCTTTTGAATTGAGAAACATATTTCAAAAACAGATATTGAAAAAACATAAACAACTACCACCGTTATCCTCCACCATCACCGCGACCCACCACTATCACATTCTTAAATTTCTTTTTCTCTCATATATCTTTCGTCCTCTCACACACACACACTCAAAAACAATAAACTAAAAAAAAATGAATTTACTAGCCTAAAACTTCTAGTTCACAAAAATTTCACAAAAAATGAACTACAAAAATATTAAAAACTATAATTGTGAAATATATATAAAAAATAGTAAACTCAAAAAATATTTTAAAAAATATAAACAGTGAATTGCAAAAGGAGTGAATTCAATCAAATGAACTAAGTATAGTGAACAACCACCATCACTGCCCACCCCACCAGTCACTACCACCCAAAAACCCACCACCATTGCTGTCAACCACCACCACCCAAAATAGTGAAAAACAAATGAACTCAAATTTTTAAAAAAAAGACATAGACAGTAAATTTTAATATAATAAAACTCTTAGTTCACAAAATTTTTACAAATAGTGAGTTTAATATAATCAAACTCTTAGTTCACAAAATTTTCACAAACAGAGAAATTTAATAGAATAAAACTTCTAATTCAATGTCCAAAATTTTCACAAACAATGAACTTTAATAGAAAAAAATTTTTAATTCACTGCCCAAAATTTTTACAAACTGTGAACTACAAAAATTTTAAAAATTTGAATTGAGAAATATACATCAAAAATAGTGTAATTCAAAAAATATTGAAAAAAACATAACCAACGAATTCCAAAAACAGTGAATTTTAATAGAATAAAACTCATAGAAAAAAAATTAATAAAATAAAACTCCTAATTTAGTGTCCAAAGTCTATTAATTTTTGGTCGACTATGTCATTTGGTGGCTCAAATTCAAAAAACGAACCAATAGAAACTCAATAAAGTAAGTTTCTTGACGTGGCAGCGATGTGAGTGGCATTTATTTATGATCAAACAGTACCACCATACCACCAACATTTGCAACCAAACTGTTAGAAAGAAAACCCCCGTCTAAGATAGTCAATTCTTCCAAGGAAGGAAAAAGGAGAAGGCCTTGTAACGGAGGCACTATCAAACCATCAATAAGGTCATACTTTGAGGTCGCAAGTTCAAATATGGCACTCACCTAAGACCTTGTAACGGAGGATCTCCGACTGGACCAGCTTGATTGGGACACTTTTGATGGTTGGGCAATGACGACGAGAGAGAGAGAGGACGCTGTTCATGGTTGGGCTCGGACGACTGTGAGAAAGAGAGAGGGAGAGGGGACAGCTGGAAAGAAACGGTGGGAATGCCAATGGGGTACTTTCGTAATAAAAATAAATAAAGTAATTAGTTTGGTCTTTGACAATTTATTGGTTTTGCAGGAGGAGTGGTGCAGCATTTTTTTTTTATTTTTTACTTTTTTTGATCAAAAAAAAAAAAAAACAACTCTTCGGTTTGTAAGATTTTCTACCCCTTACACGTGTCTATCTTCGTTGTTAAAGCTCAAGTCCGAATTACAAGCAGGGGATGGCGTTATACTGGTGCCAATATCAAGTATGGTGGTGTGCGGTGAACCAATTAAAGATAGATTTTCATTATTGGGGGATGTAATTGATAAAATTGAAAGTTGGGGTACCAAATTGATAATTCATGAATACTTTGAAGATTGATGGTGTATTTCAACGTGATGCAATTTTGTGATGACGAATAAAT